GAGGATGCGGGTTATTTTTTGATTGTTTTGTGGCGGGGTGGGGGTTTTTTTTTTTTTTTTCTTTGGGGGGGGGGGGGTTTTTTTTGTTTTTCCGCTTGGGGGGGGGGGGGTTCTTTTGGTTGTTTTTCTTTGGGGGGGGGGGGTCCTTTGGGGTGTTTTCCGTGGGGGGAGGGGGGTCCTCTGGTGTGTTTTGCTTGGGGGGGGGGGGTGCTCTGGTGTGGTTTGCGTTGGGGGGGGGGGTGCTCTGGTGTGGTTTGCGCTTTTCTTTCTAATCAAACACGTGTCGTCGTTTTCTCTCGTCCTTTGTTCTTTGTGTTACATTGTTAGCCTATTGTTTCCATGGAGTGTAGGACTACAATGTTAGCCTATTGTTTCCATGGAGTGTAGTACTACAATGTTAGCCTATTGTTTCCATGGAGTGTAGGACTAGAATGTTAGCCTATTGTTTCCATGGAGTGTAGTAGTACTGCAATGTTAGCCTATTGTTTCCATGGAGTGTAGGACTACAATGTTAGCCTATTGTTTCCATGGAGTGTAGTAGTACTACAATGTTAGCCTATTGTTTTCATGGAGTGTAGTACTGCAATGTTAGCCTATTGTTTCCATTGAGTGTAGGACTGCAATGTTAGCCTATTGTTTCCATGGAGTGTAGTACTGCAATGTTAGCCTATTGTTTCCATGGAGTGTAGTAGGACTACAATGTTAGCCTATTGTTTCCATGGAGTGTAGTAGGACTGCAATGTTAGCCTATTGTTTCCATGGAGTGTAGGACTACAATGTTAGCCTATTGTTTCCATGGAGTGTAGGACTACAATGTTAGCCTATTATTTCCATGGAGTGTAGTACTGCAATGTTAGCCTATTGTTTCCATGGAGTGTAGTACTGCAATGTTAGCTGCAATGTTAGCCTATTGTTTCCATGGAGTGTAGTAGTACTGCAATGTTAGCCTATTGTTTCCATGGAGTGTAGGACTACAATGTTAGCCTATTGTTTCCATGGAGTGTAGTAGTACTACAATGTTAGCCTATTGTTTTCATGGAGTGTAGTACTGCAATGTTAGCCTATTGTTTCCATTGAGTGTAGGACTGCAATGTTAGCCTATTGTTTCCATGGAGTGTAGTAGTACTGCAATGTTAGCCTATTGTTTCCATGGAGTGTAGGACTACAATGTTAGCCTATTGTTTCCATGGAGTGTAGGACTACAATGTTAGCCTATTGTTTCCATGGAGTGTAGTAGTACTGCAATGTTAGCCTATTGTTTCCATTGAGTGTAGGACTACAATGTTAGCCTATTGTTTTCATGGAGTGTAGAAGTACTGCAATGTTAGCCTATTGTTTCCATGGAGTGTAGTACTTCAATGTTAGCCTATTGTTTCCATGGAGTGTAGTACTGCAATGTTAGCCTATTGTTTCCATGGAGTGTAGGACTGCAATGTTAGCCTATTGTTTCCATTGAGTGTAGGACTACAATGTTAGCCTATTGTTTCCATGGAGTGTAGGACTACAATGTTAGCCTATTGTTTTCATGGAGTGTAGTACTACAATGTTAGCCTATTGTTTCCATTGAGTGTAGGACTACAATGTTAGCCTATTGTTTCCATGGAGTGTAGGACTACAATGTTAGCCTATTGTTTTCATGGAGTGTAGTAGTACTACAATGTTAACCTATTGTTTCCATGGAGTGTAGGACTACAATGTTAGCCTATTGTTTCCATGGAGTGTAGGACTACAATGTTAGCCTATTCTTTACATGGAGTGTAGTAACTACTAGTACTAGTGGTAACACATCTGATCTAAGGGAGCTCTCGTGGCCTAGAGGTTAAGGTGTTGGCCTCTCATTCAGAAGGTCCCGGGTTCGGATCCGGGTAGCGACCGAAAAAATTTCTTCTCTAAATTTGTCTCCCTTCACCTTATTTCCTGCTCTCTAGCAATGTTCTGTCGTCTGCTTTCGTCTCCTCTTTCTGCCCTCACCTCCTTTGCCCCTTCCTCTGGGCTCCTGATTCTTTCTGCAGCCTTTCTACTGCTACTCCTTCGCTTCTTCTTACTGCTGTCTTTCTGCCACACCTGGTCTTCTGGTAGGAAAAATCTACACCTAGCCTTCTCGGACAAGGGCGAAAAATCACGGAGGGCCCATGTGCAAGTTGCGCACGTTAAAGATCCCTTGGTGGTCTAAAATCGATAAAAGAGTAGGCTTCGGCCGCCACACGGGCAAAATTCAAAATTTCCTACCAACTGAAAATATTAGGTGTATCCTGCGCGCTCATATGACCTTATACAGTTGCGAGCGCCGTAAAACACTTTCCTTAAACACAAACAAAAAAACACATGTAATCTTGGGCACTTACGTGACCTATTTCCGTCACTAATACTATTAGTACTATTAGTATTACTCCTACAAGCATGTAGACCTAACTCCATGCCTCTGTTTTCCTTTTCCTTGCTTCTTCTTGCTCTTTTGCGACGTGTGCATGGCATCATAGTGAAATCAGGCGCTCGGCGAAATAATCAAAGTGAAGAAATTGGCATTTTTCCGCCGGTTTGTGAATTTTTATTTTATTTTATTTTTATGTATTTTTTTTATTTTTTTTTTTTGAGGGGGGGCTCAACACCTTTCATGCCCATTAAAGAACACATTTTTACTGATCTGACCAGTGGATCCCCTTAAAGAACACATTTGTGTGTGGGTTTTACTGAAAAACGTTTATGAAAGGCACAAAAAATGTAATTTTTTAGTTTCCACGGACTGTCAAGCTAAGTAAATTTACATGTACTCATCTTTGGCGGCCATTTTCTCACTAATTTTTCTTTGAAATCAGGTGACCCCCACCTCCTTCATTCGCAAATATCTCGACTGGTACGTATCGGTATTCAAGATAAAAATGGATATTTTTCCCCCCCAAAGCAAGACGACGAACAAGCTTTAAAGATTAAATAGGAACCAATTTCTCCACATGGCCAAAAATGGACGAGAGGCTCACTCCACAGCGCCGGGACACGCGTACTTTGTTGTCCACGTCATTATTGTGTTGTCTGCCTACAGCGAAACGTAGACTCTAGTTCCTTCTTCCTCGACCCTCTCTTTTCATTTGTTTTCTTCTCATCCGAATGTTGCTTTTGTGGCTTATAAATAGACTTGTAACTTGTTTTCAAGGGCGGCCTGGGGCACAGATTGTCCACTAGACAACACGATCTTTGGTTG